AGGATTATTGTTTGAAAGACTTTACAGGAAAACAGAGCTCAAATACTGAAGAGCCTTTCCCAGTGTCATATTTGTTCTGCTTTAAGCCACAATAGACCCCATGATATCAATATTGTTAACTCCTGATTTCCACCAGTGTAAGTGAAAAATAACCCCCAGATTCTTAAAGGTATTTGGAAAGATTGAGCTCCTCTATCTCAAAGTAAACTAGTTACATAAATATATATTGGGTACATTATTGCCTTTGATCTGACCTTCAGCACCCTTGTGACAATTGTTAAACATATCTAATCTCAAAATTGCTATCACCTGTCTTTGTTCAAGGCCTGAAGAGTGAAATGGCTGCAGTTCACAAGTGCTTATGGCACAAAAATAAAAAAAATTAAATCAATAAGCAAAGCTAATGAGCTGACATGAACAGGCATGCTTTTTTACTACAAAGTCCTATTTTATCACAAATCCTACCACGTGTTCTGGTGTTATTTAGACAATATTTCTGTGACCTTACACTGGTCATTTTCAGCCCAAAGCACAATGAAACAGTGATAGAAGAGGAGCAGCTTTTACCTGGTTTTTATGAGGACACTTCTGCAGTCAAGTCTGAGAAATGAAAAAACTTCGTCATTCATTGTCAGAGCATAAGAAATTGAAAATGCAGCACCTGTATTTTGAGAAACATTTGGTTAGAACAATTTCTGCTCATTTTTTGGGAACTTTGCAACTCATCAACAATAGGAAAACAATGTTCATGATGGTTTACCCTTTAAACATTAACCAGACCCAAGACAGGCTCAGTGGTGAGTTTTAGCAAAATATAAATTCTATTTAAACTTGTAGGATTATATGTCATAATGTATGACATATGTATCATTTTGTCAAGAGCATATTTTCAAATAAGTTCAGAAATATTTAAAAATATTTAAATTCCTGTAGTCAGAGAAGTAGCAAAATGTTTATGAAAATTTTCAAAAAACAAGCACTTGGCTGCAAGAGTCATAAAACCTTAATGATGCTCAAGAGTCTGAGTCTAACACTTGATAACCTATAAAAAATTACTTTAAACAGCTTTATAAAACCCCCAGTTATGAGATTAGCAAGAATACTGCTTTAATTTTGCAGTTGCAGAAACTTTTATGAAGTGCACTGATTTTAAATGAACTGACAGGGTGGCACCTGAGCATGGCTCACTTTTTACAGCATTTCAGCTCAGGCTGAGCTCTGTGTTCCTCAGAGAGACTGAGTGGGGGTGGCACCCCTTCAAATACCACTTGTCATTTCTGCAAGTCACTCAGTAGTGCTCAATCCCTTCTCAAAATAGAGATTATACTCTTAGGTTATCGTTTGTTTTGTCAGTCATTCAAGTGAAGCTGCAATGTTTAAATACACAGCAGCCACACAGTGTGGAACCTTTAAAATGACTGGTAATAATACAGCTAAATATTTACATTAAAAAAAAAAAAAACAAACCACAAAACTGTCTCCTGGAACATTTCCCAGGCTAAATAACAGCCTTTGCCAATACACCTGCAGCTTTTTGTAACTAATTAAGAAACTTGAGCAAACACAATCAAAAAGCCTCAAAAACCAAATGCAGAGTCAATTACTTGAAAAGAAAAAGAATACCCACTCTCCAACAACTGATGCATTTGTAATTGCAATGCCTTTGTCTTTTCTGCCTTTTAGAAAGATTCAGTTATTCACAACAGATTCTTTTGAAAGGAATTTGGAATTAAGAAAAGCAATTAATTCTAAAATTAAGGGACAAAATGTTTCATTAATAGAAATGACTCATTGCCAAATCCATACCTTGGATTACTTTCCACAAGGTTGCCTCTTGATACCAAAGCTGATGATCTATGAGTTCATTAGGATGTCACCAATGCAATAAATTCTCCAAAAGGGAAACCTTTTTAATCACAAGTGTCAAAAGGGCTTCAAGCAGATATAAATGTCTGTCACTGCATAACTGGGGACTTGAATAAGACCTAGAGGTTGGTCTTTATAAAGCAGTGAATAATTTTATTTCAAACCATTTTTTGCTTTTTGCTCTGTAGTTCTGTAAACAGCAACAACTGTAGTTAAACTATATACCAAAATTTCTTAATGAGAATTTGAGGCTGTCTTAAGTTTTATGAGTATATTACATACAAGATTTGAGAGTTCTAGTCGTATATATTTCTATATATTTCTTTCTGAAATATATAGAATTCGAGGTATTGCTTTTTAAAAACATGCTCCTATTTGTGCTATAAATTAAAGCTCCTGCTATTCATATTCATGCATGATATTTTCTATACCCTAGTATTTCAGGTCCCCATCCTGCAAACAATGAACAAACATTTAAGTTTATGCATGCAAATAACCCCACTGAAGACCAAAACACTAATAATGAGGATCAGAGCACCACCTGTAACGTGCACCATCATAGACTGCACAGCTCATTTACCCAACACGGATCTGAAAGACAATTCTCAAATTTGGTTTCCATATTGTTTCAACCAAAAGAGCTCCTATTTCAAGTATATAGCTCAAGCCCAAGCAATCCAGGAAGGCTCAGTTTCATAAAATAATTTATGGAACCTATTTTCAATTGCAGAAATTTTAATAAAGAGCAAGAAGTTGCACAAGGCATCTGAAGCAAGCTTTTGTAACCATGTTTTATAACACACCGTATGGCAAGAAAATAGCCACAGCACCAAGCATCACCCACTCTAAATCAGTAAGCCTTCCTTTAGCTGAGATATTCCAAAAGGCTGTGTTAACGTGGTAGAAAGAATTTTCTTTCAGCTTTTAATGATACTTTGTGTCGCAAAATGCTGGTAATTTCATATTTATTATAAAGTTCCTTGCTTACAATTTCATTTGTAAGCAATAACAAAAAGCAACGCTGGCTGCAGTGGCTACATTTTAACACTGGATGGCACCAATCACCTCAGGAATTGCCTCGCTAAATGTTAGATTACATTCTTATTATGTGAACCTTGTAGGATAATTTGATGGGAACACATAATGTAAATCTCTAAACAAAAAAAACAAACAAACAAACAAAAACACACAAAAAAACCAAACCCAAAAACCAAATCAAACAAACAAAACCAAAACAACTGGGGAAAGAAAAAAAAAAAAAAAAAAAAAAAAAAAAAAAAAAAAAAAAAAAAAAAAAAAAAAAAAAAAAAAAAAAAAAAAAAAACAAACAAAAAAAAACCAAAAAACAAAAAAAAATCTTGAAGAAAGTAACTTCAGGGAAGTATCTTTCTGGAATATGACACTCCCTGTCAAAACCCTGTGCTTTGTAGAATGAGTGTGTGTGTGTAAATGCAGCATGTGTTCACAGATGTAATTTTTTCCATTTTACCATGCCACAGAAAAATACTTTATTTGACTCAAAGATGTAACACTTCAAATTCAGATAGGAAAATATAGATAGTAATACCTGAACATAAGCATTTAGTGTGATTTTCTGATGAGCTAAGAGCTGCAAAATCTCATTTAGTTAAACAGTTCTAATCAGGGATACAAGTGCCTTTATAAAAATGATATTTTGTATTTTTGTATTAATCCTTTTCTGGTGTAACACTCAAGTAGATGAAAACAAAACATGTACATTTAAATACACGACGATAAAATATTTGTCCTCCCTTCAGAGGCTATATTTAACAAACAGCTACTACAATCTAACTTCACAGGGATGCTAAAGAGGTGGACAAAACAAGTGGGAATCCAGTAGTCTGGAGGGAACTAGGAAGATATTTACCTGTGTCTGAGAGGAGATGAAAGGAGCTGAGACATTTACTCCTTTGTACAACAGCTCGTCTGTATTGTCAATCCCAGGCACTCAAAAGTCTACAGCAGCCCCAGAGATACTTTTTAAGAACTAATGTTATCCTTCACATCTCGTTTTAAGAGTTTTTTGGGGGAGAAGTTGTGACTTTTTTTTTTAACTAAAATGTGTCCTCTTTGTTTTCCAAGCTATCAGAAGTAACGATTTGGGGCTGGGGGCTACACTGCTGCCCCCTGTCACCAGGAAGGGATTAAACTTGCCCTTGTTTTTAAATGAAACCAAGAAGACAATCCCAGAACTGGGCCAGGAGGGTGTTCAAAGCAAGGCCCCGGGTTGCGCAGACTGACACAGGGAGGTTCCTGTGCCGCTCCGTGAGGGCTGTGCCGGGCGATAAGGGCTGGGGGGACCCGCCCGCCTCAGGAGACAGGGATGGGGGGAGCCGGGTGAGAACAGCCGGGAGGCGGCGGGGTGAGGCCGCATCTGGAACGCTGAGTCCAGTTCTGGGCTCCACAGCACCAGACATGGAGCTTCTGGAGCGAGCCCGGTGGAGGACTACGAAAATGTTTAGGGGACTGGAGCATCTCTTTGACGAGAAAAGGCTGAGGGAGGTGAGACTGTTCAGCCTCGATAAGAGGCGACTGAGAGGGGACCTCATCAGTGCGTATCAATATCTAAACGGGGAGTGCCAAGATGGAGCCAGGCTCTGCTCGATGAGGCAGAAACTGATGCACAGCAAGTTCCACCCGAACGCGAGGAAGAACTTCTTTAATGTGCAGTGACCGCGCACTGGAACAGATTGCCCGCAGAGATGTGAAGTCTCCAGCACTGGAGACACTCCAAGCATTCTGGACACAACCCTGAGCCAAGCGCTCTGGGATGACCGTGCTCGAGCAGGGAGGCGGGACCAGGTGACCGCTGTGACCTCTCCCGACCTGACCCACCCTGAGACTCTGAAGAGAAGGGCGGGAGGCCCCGCCCACAATGCGGCACGCGGGGGGCGGGGGGCGGGGCCAGAAGCAGGTGGGGCGGGGCCTGGAGCCGCCGTGGGCTGGGCCATGCCCGGCTGTGGGCGGAGCGATCCCTCTGAGGGGGGGACCCGTGCCCGGCCGTGGGCGGGGGGATCCCGCTGGGGGGCGGGGCCATGTCAGGCCGTGGGCGGGCGATCCCGAAGGGGGCGGGGCCATGTCTCCACCGCCCTTGCTAAAGATGGCGGCGCCGGCGGGGGTGGTCCCTGCGCGACCCAGGCGCGGGGCGATGACGCGCGGGCCGGAGCGGAGGGCGCGGTGATTCCCGGTGTTGTTGTTCCCGGTGTTGTGGTTCCCGGCGTCGTTGTTTTTTCCCGGCGCGATGGCATCGCGAGCGGCCCCGCGCTGATGGCGGCGCGCCGGGCACCGCGCGGCCCCGCGCCCGCGCCCAGGCTGGACGAGTTCACGGTGCCCGCCGAGAAGAGCCGGCTCCTGGAGCGCAGCCGGGGCCGCATCGAGGGCTTGTTCGAGGTGCAGCTGGCGGTGCTGGGCGCGCAGGGGGACTGGCGGCCCGTGCTGTCGCCGCCCGCCGCCGCCAGGATCTGGGTGCAGCTGGCGGGCGGAGGGAAGGCCGTGAGCAGCGCCAAGGTACGGGCCGGGCCGGCGGGGGGGGCGGGAGGGACCCTGAGGCAGGGTCGGGCCCGCGGGGCGGAGGAGAAAGCGTGGGGGAAAAACCGGGAGCCCCAGGAGGAAATGCTGGCATGGCAGGTGGGGGTGTGCCCGGTGCCAGGGAGTCTCCGGCCGTGTTGACACAAGCGTAGGGAATAAAGCGAAACAATCTTGCTGGGAGGGGCAGAGTCCACTGGTGTGAGGCGCTCCTGCCCGCGGCTGGGGACGGGTCACACCGGGGAGAACGGGCCGGGCTTTGTTGGAAAGCCGAACTTGGGATGTTTCGCTCTCCTTCTTCCTCCCTCCCAAAGTCGAGAAATCCCTCGGAGTTGTTTGGGCGTTCCCATGTTTTGCTTTACAAAGTTCACCTGTTCTGTGGCATGTAGTAGCTCGCTAGCGAAACTGTCAGTAACAGAGCTGATATTTCCTTAGTTAATAGTGGTCAGGGCCCGCCGCTTCCCCAGGCTGTGTGCTGGAGCAGATGGCTCTCCTAGATCGAGCACTAAAAGAGTTAAGAGTTTGTCTCAACAGCAAACGCGGTCTGTTTGTCTCAGACCGGGACAACGGTTGCTGTGAAGTATCTTCAGTCTTAAATGTCTTGTACAACGAACACTTGGGGGGAGTTTCTCAGCAGTAATGCTGAAATTAGTATTACTCATAGCGAACCTGGCAAGTAGAGCTGTTTGAGTCATGTGATGAGAACTTGGTGTGAGTGCTTGGTGGGCTGAAGGTACCTTACAAAACCAAAATCTCAGTATGTGGGTGTTTGTCCGTCTCTTTGTTTAAATACAGTTAGACGTTAGGGGGATCCTGAGCATGTATTTTGGGACTTAATTCACAGACTTGGCAGTCTGCTTTCAAAAACTTGATCCCTTAACTGTGCAACGCATAAGACTTGTCAGGAAAATACTATAAACATTGAATATTTGACTGACATTTACACCAGACCAATTTGCATGGGCTCAAACTCCAGAAACTGTTACAGGTAGCTGTTCTTTTTTTCCAGGCATCTGTAGTACAACTTCCTTTTATTTTCAGGAAATTAAAGCCTGAAATAAATAGCTCAAGACTTCAGTATTCTAATTGCAGCTTTTCCTAACAACATACAAAATGTTTTCTACATCTAATACTTTAAAGGGTGTGAGAAACTTGGCTTGACTTGCATGTAGAGCAGTTTTCAGACACTGTCTGGTGGAATTACTGGCTAGAAAGTAGTCAACTGCATATCTTATTGTCTCCCTTTAAAGGATTTGATGATAGCAATTTGTGGTTTAATTCATCAGTCACATGCAATGCATTCATCCTTCACTGTTGGTTAATAAAAAAAAGTTCCCAGATTTTGAATATCCTTTTTACCAATTCTGTTGTTGTCCTGTTGCTCTGCAAGAGCAGTCATCTGATGACTAAGACACGGAAAGTAATCCTGTGGCTTTGCTGCAGAAGCAGTTTGTGTTCATGTGCCTTGATACCTGTGTGATGATGTAACTCAAACTCAAGGAAGTGGTGTTATGTTATTCGTTACCTTGTATTGGCTTTGAGTTCCATTTAAAAGAAGTTTAGTTTTTGAGAGTAAAGGTAGATACTAAAACGTGGTGCACTTGGGAGTCTGCAAATACAGTGACTGCAGTTTAGAAACTGGTTTCACTGCATTACAGAATTTTAAGCACAGAAAAAGACAGTTTGGGGAAAAATAATGCTACCTGAAATAATAACTAATACACTGTATTGCAGAGTTTTGAATTCTTAACACATTAGAACAAGGTAGTGTAGTGAATTTAACTGCAGTAACTTTTAGGTGGCAGAAATAGCACTGGGATTTTTAATTTTTTTTTTAATCTTTGCAAAACCTGAACTTCAGGAACACAGAACTGTCTGGAGCCTGGAGTTCTCAGTCCTTTATCAGCAACAAAAATATAGGATAGCTCTTGTTGGGATAAGCCTTGGGAAGTGTTCCTTAGAAACTGGTTTTAGAAGTTCAGATTTATGAACTAGGTAGAATTCTCCAGTGGCATGCATTTGTTCATGAAGTGTATGTTCTCTTTGACCAAAGAACAAGGATGGAAAAATAAGTCTCTTGACTTGTCTTTTAAATTGTTTGAGCTATAACTTAAGTACCCTGTTACTATCAGTTTCAAGTAAATTTATTTATAAACAATAGGATATAAAAGAAAGGCTTCAATGAGGTCTATTTAAAAATCATTTCAGAGAACTGTATTTTATTTCTGTTACCCAGTTTACTGGCTAACAGAAAGTATTTACTTTCTCGCATTTCTTATGCTAAATTTACTTAATTTTCTAATGTACTTGTCCATTACTGACCTAATAAAAACTAACTGAATATATTGACTTTTCATAACTGAATATATTGGCTTTTCACAACTATTCACTCTCCTCTCTTTCTCCTTTTAGGAGTATATCAAGGGACTGTGTGAACCTGAACTAGAAGAGAAGGAGTACTACCCAAAGGACATGCACTGCATCTTTGTTGGTGCTCAGAGCCTGTTTCTCAACAGTCTTATTCAGGATACCTGTGCTGATGTATCAGTGCTGGAGATGGGATTGCTTGTTATTAAGGGGGGTGCAGAAGCTGTTGTTATGGCTCAAAGTCACGTTCAGCAGTTTGTGAAGCTTTTTGAGAATAATGAAAGCTTGCTAAATGACAATGAATCTGAGATTAAAAAGCAATTCAGGCAATTTGTGGAAGCACATGCAGATAAGTATACAATGGATTTACTGATTTTGCCTAGTGCACTAAAAAGAGAACTCCTGGCTCTCACCCAGACTGACTTCTGTGCAGTGGAGAGCGATATCATAGACCTTACAGGTTCTGAAAGCCCAGCAGGGCTCATACAGCACAGTGCTTCCAAAGGAGTTGCTACAAACAGAGATGGAAGGGCAGGTGGTGAGGAAGCAAGAAACAAGGCTGGCACACCTGTAACTGAGCTTACAAAGCAAATGGACACTGTGTTTTCTGATGCTCCTGAAACAAGTTTTGTTCCCATAAATGAATCTCTGCCAGAGGCAGTGGTGTTTAAAGAAAGGCAGTCATGTAAAAGAAGATCATCTGAGGAGGAGGAAAGGCTCTCCAAAAAGCAGTTCTCTTTGGAAAATGATCAGCAAGTGAAGTCTTCTTCACACCGTAGTCGTTCAGACAGTGATGCAGTTATTGATCTGCTTTCGGATAGGGATGTTCAATCAGATGATCCTACTTATTGCCTTAAAGAAGGTGATGATATCAGTGAAGAAATGGAATATAAGATTCTTGTGAACTTTTTCAGAACAATGGGGTATTCACAAGATATTGTAGAAAAAGTTATTGGTATCCTAGGGCAATCTGTGGAACCATTAATATTGCTGGAAGAAATTGAAAAGGAAAATTTGAAATTTCAAAAAGAATGTGAACAGTCATCTCAAAAGCCTAGAACTGTCAATCCTCCTTTAGAAAATAATGCAAGTAATTCACAAAAGGTAGAAAACAAATGTATTTCTAGGAAAAGTCCACTGAAATCCAGTCATATTTCAAAGGAGACAAAAAATGAATATCACAAAGTAAGAGATGTACCAGATGTGCAAGTTGATGCAGAAGATAAAATGCATGCTTCCCCTTCCAGCAGAAATTCAGCTGTATGCTATAAAGAGAGAGACATTCACTGCCCTGGTAAGAGTCACAGTTCAAGGTCAAACCATATAGAAAGTGATGGCAGGGTAACTTTCAGCACTGTACAAGCTGGAGCTCTAAAAGACATTGACTTTGTAGCCAGAGGGAGCTCAGATGTGCAGCATGTCCCAACTAAGAGTAAAACTGCAGTTCAGCAAAAATCTGCAGGGCCCTCAACTGTACAGAACAGTCATCCTGTTTCTGAAGACAGACTGGGACACTGCAGCTCTGCTCAAGCAAAATCTGTCTACCAACGCTTTTCCCAAACCTCAAATTGTGAAAATTCAGTCCCAGACCACTTCTTGTCTTCACAAATACATCCTTCAAATCCTGACAGAGAGGCAGTGGGACCACACAGACATCATTCTGATCCTTCAGTTACTGGAGTTCAAAGGTTTTTGGACTCTCTGAAGAAGCCATACAGACTGGAGTTGAAAAATGAACCTGGGAAACCATATTTAAAACACATAATTATTGATGGAAGCAATGTTGCAATTTCGTGAGTATTGTTATTTTCAGTTATCTCTTTCCTAACAGTTCAGTGAACTTTCAGATGATATGGGGGCTAAGAGGTTGCAGTGGCAAGTGTAAAGTTTATGCTGGCTATGTTTTTTGGTGAGCAACAGTCCTGTGCACTGCAGGATTTGTCAGCTACTAGTAATGGTAAATCTTCATAATAAAAAATTGAGATTGAGAGTAGCCATCTTCATTGAAGAAGGTGCTGATCATGACTCGGTTTCACCACGTTCAGAGCCCAGAGCCCCCTCATGACTAGCAGCAATAAAACTTCTCTCGTCAGTCACTGGAGAATTAAGGGTTTCTGTCATTTTATAGTGTTCCTAAATTTAAAGGGAATGCCTAATGTTATCCAGAACTCTTGACACTGCTTTAATTCAAGTACAGTGTTTTGCTACAGTGAATAGTTCTTAAGGTAAACGTTTCCTCGTTGTTCAGACTCTGTTATTTCGAAATGGTGATGCAAAAGTGCAAGTTGCAACTGAGTCATAAACGACCTTGAACTTTTAAAAATGCATATTAGTGGAAGAAAGATGCAAATTGTGGGGGTCATGTGGGAAATAACAAATGTACTGCATCCTCTTGCATCCTCTTGGTCTTTTTTTTTTTAATACAAAAATACTTTTTTCGTCTGTGTATTTCATGATCATTTCATGGGGTTTTGTGTTTGTTTTTTTTTAACAGCTATATACATCTGAAACCAATTAATTAAAAGATGGTGAATAAACATCTGCTTATTTCTGACTGTGAGACTACACCACTGACTAGGCAGTGGTGTCCTAACTTTTTTTGATTGAGCACCCCATGAATAGAGAAATCTTTGAGTATGCATCCCAATATATGTATATTTACCAACTATATGTGTGCATTACTGGAGTTCTGGTGTTTCCTTCATCCATCAAGTGGATTGCCTTGCCCACCAGCTGAGGTGCACACACCCCGTGTTAAAGTAGGGCAGAATACCTGGATGCTGTTGACATATAACCTCTTTTTGGGGACTGTATAACACCTGCTGCTCAACCAAGTGAAAACTTTTTATGAAACTTAAGGGACAGAGCTGCCTCAAAAGAGCAGAACCATTGAGATATTTAAATGTCCTACTAAATAATCAATGCATGGGGGCCTGTTGGTTTTATTATGTAGGTATTCTGCAGCTTCCTTCTGGCTGAATAAAGCCTCATTATTTTCTTGCATCTTAGAAAGTGAAGCATTGTTTGCAATTTTGATTTGAACTTTTTTTGATTTTACTTCTCAGTACCTTGAAATTACTGACAACTGCTTCTATGCCTATGCTGGTTTGGGGTTCTTTTGACCCCTGAGTACAATGGGGTTTTGGTTTGGGTTGGGTTTTTTATGGGTGTGGGTATTAATGCATTACCTGCATGCTTAGACTAATGCTATATGGGTTTCTGATTCAGTGCTTGCCTCATGTCCTAAGTCTGGAAAACTACAAGAAGCTATAGAATTTTTTCTTTTGACATGTGCAGGACATTGCAGTGTTGTTAGCTGTACTTTCAGTGTGGTTGTGGAATGAAAGAAAGCCTCGAGTTTACCCTAGCTGCTAAAAATTACCTCTTTTTGTATGCTGAAAACAGGTCTTTGGAAGCAGACTGAAATATCCAGATGGTTGTCGAGTAATTATAAATTAAATTTTATTAAAATGTGGAAGAAACTCAGAATGAAGGAATAACTGGATGGAATTATATCTTCTAGAACAGTGTGTAAATGATATGTGTTTGGGGTGGTGCATCCCCTGCCCTGCTCCCCCTCGTTCTTGGGTCTGTTCTGCAGTCACAAAAGCTCTTGATAAGCCTTGACCAAACTGCCTTGAGCAGTGAAGTGTCCCCTGACCCTATCAATTGGGCCATGAGGCACTCCCCACCTCTACCATGGAAGAGCTCCTGGTAGGATCAGGAACAATCAGAAACATCAGCTGCCCAGCCTAGGTGGGAAACAAAGGCTAAGCAGTTATCCTTGGAAGCCTTGGTGAGCCATTTACCTGAATTGTGGCACATTGTTACTGCACTTTGGGAGGAAAGCCCAGTGGTTACCGAGTTGGGTTGTGGCCAGGATGCAAACTCACTGATGACCAAAGTCAGTCATCTTGTGGCCCTATAAAGAGCCGTCCTGAGTGAGGCCCTTTGAGCTCTCCCTGTGAGTTGGACACAGCTCAGAGATCACAAATCCTCGAGTCTGTGATACTCAGAGGACTGACACTGACAGTGAGGCTCCCACACAACCTCTCCACACTTCCTGAGGTGCAACCCTTGCCTTTGGAAAATGCAAAGAGATTTGATGTGAACATTTCACTGAACCTGAGGTGAATTTTTCATGGGTATTTTACGCCCAGAGAAGTAGGGGTACACATTGCTTTTCCTGTGTGCATGTGAATTGGTTATGGTATGAGTGTTACCATCTCAAATCTCTAGTTAGGTCACTGTTATGACTGTAGTGAACCCTGTGGAATCACTTTGCAAATGTTCAAGTACTCAGTGATTAAGTACTGCTAAACCCTTTTGCACCCTTATCTTTGCACTCCCAGCTTTGGTGTAAATCATTCCGAATTGCTTCTAATTTGATCTTCCTTTGTATGCTTTAATTTATGTAGTAAGTAATGAACTTACTGTTCACAAGTTCACAAGAGTGAACGTTAGCACCAAATTCCATAAAGTTATATTTTGACAAATTCACATTAAACCCTGCTTTTGCCAATACCTTTGATGGAGTTTCTTCATATGTAACAGTACTTTAGTTACAAAACCAAAGGCAAAACATTGCATGTCCCAGAAGGCAACCTGCTGTTTGCTACTTTGTGCTGCTTATGATAATTGTATTCCTTTATTTGACTGTGCTTGACATCAGGAATGACTAATTTTATTAGGGCAAGCATGGCATAGCATTTTTTTTCTTCTGGAAACTCTGTAAGTCAGATCTTTTGCCTTTTATGTTTCAGAAGTAGCTTACTCATTTTTCTGCCTTTCTACGTAAAGAATTCCTCTCCGAATTCAGAGAACCTTAACAGATTTAAGTGTTGATAAATTTATTTTAAAAGGAATTTACAAACTTGGAAAAGGATAAATGAATGCTACTAAAGGCTGAGTTTCACTGTAAAATATTTCCATGGAAATCTTTTAAAGACCATTTTGTTGGGAAGATGTCTCGGTAGGATAAACTAGATTTTAAAGATAAGATTCCGTTCAGAACTAACAGGGCTTACTATTAGGTTTATAATATGCAATTACACATTAACTGGGAGAGCAGTTTCAAATACACAGACCACTCACTCACTTATTGTACCAAAAACTTCCACAGTGACTTAAGATCTAACTCAAAACATAGACTGGGCACTATTTTGCAAGAAATGATTTGTCTGCTCATGCCTTCAGTGCTCAATCAGTGTGTCTTTTCTAGCAAAGCATATCTTTGTATTGTCTAAGTGTGGCCTCTAATCTATGAAAATGTGCAGGGAAAAGTTTCTGAATGAAAACTGGATTATTTAAAGTGCTAATAGTGTTTGGTAGAAATTTACTCGGAAGGTGGTTTTGATTCTATCTTCTGTGCTTTATTTTAAGAATCTTTTCTATTATTCCACAGAAACTCAGTTTCCAGAGTCTCATTAGACAGTTAATTGCTAAAGGAGACATTTGTGCCATGTATAAATAGGCATAAAGGATCAGTGAGAATTCCAATTGGGAGGGATTTTGCAAGGTCATCAACTCAAATCTTTGCAATTGCTGATTTTCTGGAAAGTCACTTAAGTGAGTTGCAAAAACAGATAATGAGCATCTTACGTTTTTAAATGGAGGAAAAAGATTAACACAAAAATTAAGTGTTTTGAAAATTTTTCTTCAAAGAAATTTCATTGTTTTGCTTCAGAACAATAGCTCAGACTGTGGAAAGGAAGGGAGAAGAGCCCTTAATATCTTGAATTGTCAAAGAACTTCCCATGTGTAATCCTTGGTAAACCTTTGGTAAACCAAAGGCCTTCTATTTTGTAGCAGGACTGTATTTGGAACTACCACAATATATATTGGATTATATATATAAAATAATATATATACACATATAGTCAGTAGATGTCAGAAACCATCATCATTGGCCTCTTTTTTAAAGTTAAACCCACTTCTGATTATCCCAATATTGTTGTGCCCAAGAAACTAAAAGGAGACTGATCTATAAAGTTGCCAAGTGATGTATCTATTCCCTTGCTGAGGATCTCTTTCCATTTATAAGATTCCTCATCTGTAACATCCATCTGCCTTTTCTTTTGCTCAGACTGTTTGTGTAACTTTCTCCTTCACTTTGCAAGGCTTTGTTCCATTTTCTTTGTATTCAGAGTAGTAAAACCTTTGTGAATTTAATCTCCCTTGTCTCTCTTTCACCCCCAGTCACGGTCTAAGGAAATTCTTCTCCTGTCGGGGAATTGCAATAGCTGTTGACTACTTTTGGAAGCGTGGCCACAGAAATATAACTGTGTTTGTTCCACAATGGAGAACAAGACGTGACCCTTACATTACAGGTGAGGGAAATTTCCTAATGTTTCTTAATTAAAACAGATTGTAACTATTTCTTGGGATACTTCTGTGAAGAATGAATGGAGAAGGGATACTTCATGAAACATTAAGCACGAGCAGTCTGGCTGCTCAGCATGTGTGACTGGGGTTCCATATGCAGTGTGACACTGAAATGCTGTTTAGGCAAACTGGGGTGCCATAATGGGAGGCCTTTTTGCTTTGGTTTTTGTTTGCTCTTTAATTTCTAGTTTTGACCTCTTCCTCCCCATTTTTATAGTATTAGCAGTTCTTCCGTTATCAGTGTAACTTCTATAGATAATTTGGTACAAAAATAGCCCATCTTCTCTGCTAATTTTATATCAGACTAATTGTCAAATCATGTTTTAACAGAGCAGGATTTCTTAACACAGCTCCAGGATGTTGGAATATTGTCTTTAACCCCGGCAAGGATGGTTTTAGGAGCAAGAATTGCTGCTCATGACGACAGGTACAGAATATACATCATTTTAAAATCTTTTTAAACATCTGACTAATGGTTGTAAAACCTTAATGCTTCATCAGTGGTTCTATTAGCAAGTTCTGCAACCTCTCTAGACAGAGCTATGATCCAGCTTAAGACTGAGCTCTACATCTGTTGAATTACTTTGCTGTTGTAAGAAACATTCCTGTGTATTCAGAAAGTCATGGGAAATGGCAAGTTTTCATGGCAATTTAAAAAAAAAAGTCCATTTCAAATGTCATCATTTGTATTGAGGAGGAAATTGATCTTCCAGTAGTGGTTTTATGCTTTCCTGATCATCAGTCTATCCCTAAATTGCCTTTTATGTTGGGGCATAAATCAGTGACTGATCAGGTACAATTTAGCTCCATTTTTTTCTTGATGCCATGGTGGCATAAAGACATTGCTGTGTATTTGGAGCAGTGTATTTGTAACAGTAAATTTCCAAGTTAATTTGAGCACCAGAGATCAGCTTCAAAATGTGGGGCTCATCTTTCAGTGAACAAGAGTAGAGCTTTAGGAGTTTGTGTTGTGGGAGTTTCCTGGTGCTTCCTTTTGCCAGATTTTCCCAGTCTTGAGACACAGTTAAAAGCACATGCTGCTTCAGTTATTTGGGTTGTCTTTTTTCCACAACCAGTTTTCCTAACTCTCCATGGATGCACAGCTTGCAGCTTTGAAATTGTGTTTTGCAGATCACTTCAGTTTGCTGGATTTTGGTTTCTTCCTTCCTACTAATAACCACTCCTACTTTATTTTTCTGACTACAAAATTGTCAAGTTCTTGTGTCATGAGCATGTCTATTTTTGTTAGATTGCACAATCCAGTACCTGATTTCAAAACTCTGATATGCCAAAGTATATAGTGTACTTAATTTATCTCCCTTGCTAAAATATAGTGACTCTGATTTCTTAACTATTAACCTTGTAGCAAAAAAAAAAAAGTGCCAGGCAGCCAAGTTGGAGTTGTTTGCACAATAATGTTTTATGTACACCCAGCCTTTCAAATATAATGCTATGGGTGCAGTATTTACAGTTGAGATTACTGTGGAAATAAATGTTGTGATAACATATTTGCACTTTTGTTACAAGCGTACACTTTCCTTAAAAGGACACCATCTATTATCTCATTGCTAAAATAGTTTCAAATGGCAAAAAGCTCGTTTTCAGAGAGGTTAAAACGAAAGCAGATATGGGGGTTTTTAATAAATTTTTGTCATAATTTATTTAACAACAACTTGTTAACAAGTGTTGACAGAACGAGTAACATGCATAGTACTGTCTTGATATTAATGCTAATAGATATTATAATGCAGAACATAGATATTAATGCTAAGCAAAAAAGGACAAGGCAATGAGTTTGTGTTGGAATGTGTAACAAATATTGTACTGTTCCATAAAGCAAGCCATTTACCTCTTCAAATATTTAGATCATGAGGCTTGGGGGGTTTTGCTTGTGTGGTTTGTTTTAGGGGAAGAAAACCTCCCATAAAGACTGTGCTGCACTAAATAAATGCATGCTACTCAAAACATTGGTTAAGGTGGGTCAAAACAGAGTCATTTCCTGGTAATCAAAGTGCTTGTTTTCATGCAAACAGATTGCTTTTGGATGATGAAGTGTTTAGTTTTCTCGATCTTTGGATCGTTTTCAGCAAAGCAGTCTTAATGATCTTTGAAATTATTTTTACAGGTTTTTATTACACCTTGCAGATAAAACTGGAGGTATTATTGTGACTAATGATAACTTCAGAGAATTTGTGACAGAATCATTTGCATGGAGAGAAATTATTCAGAAAAGGTAATCACTGAATTTTTATGAAGTCTTAAAAGGCTGTCTGTCTTTCCAGTTGTAGGCACTCTGCCTTCATATTGTGGGGTTTTTTTTAATTTTATTTTTAATTAATCTGTCAGGGAATTCTGCTAGATCTGGAGGAAGTACTATCTGTGTTTCACTATGTTGATTCATGGCCTTATACTCACGTGTTGAGTAGTCTAATGTCCCTATTATTCATATGTTTTCTAATGTATGTCTGTTAATTGCTCACATAAATAGGAGTTTGGTGTAACAGCACAGCTACGGCACCTGTGAAGCTCAGTGTTGGATCCTGTTAGAGCACACACTTTGCAGTCCACTTTAACAGCCTTTCTTGTTTAAAAGTTCATTTTTTTCAAGAAGACACAGTAGCTGGTGCACACACAATATCACTTCTGAGGTTTCAGAATCAATCACTTTTTACTCAAGTACAACAGATTGGTGGCTAAACAAAATGAGCACTTGCAGCATATCTGTGTAGCCATTTCCCTGCAAATGTTGGGTGTCCCTTGGACTGAGTTCACTTAGCTATCAAATATCCCTGTTGTTGGGTTTGGGTGGGTTTTGTTTTTTTCCCTTTCAGTTGAATCAGATCACTTTACTGTTAAGGTATAATAGTCTGTCACTGAAATTTCCCACTGACATCTTCTGAGGGTACATCTGCTACAGTGACCAGGTCTAATGAAATAAGTGATTACAAATTGCCCTGGCTTCTCACAATATAGCTGGGAGAACATGGAGTTGATATTGCTAATCATGTAGGTATTTACACTGTTTCTTGAGTGAATTCTGCCCAAGTCAGGTTCTGTTCTACAGAACTGTAGCAAGAATACTTGGCACGTCATCTCGAGTCTGTGGTTTTAAAAAACTTGTGTTAACAGCTGCTCTTAGTTTTACTTCTGGGGAAATTCCGCTGCACCAAAGTTTCTCCCTGCAGACAAATTTTAGTTTAACTGTTTTTTCTTCAATTTCCCCCATCCCAAAATGATTCCAGAAAAAATAGCTTCATGTCTTAACTGTAAACAGCTAATGCTATATTTGCTAGTTTTGTGGCTTTCTGGTAACATGGGCATTTTAGCTACATGACTGAAGATCCTTACGAGGAAGGGGAGTTAGAACAACCAGAAAGTCTTCTTTAATCACCTGGAAAAGTCTATCCTGATCTTGCTACAAAAATTTGCAGTCATAAAACAGTTGCTGTCAAAAAAAAAAAAGGGAAAAAAAGAGAAGCTCTGTGTTCTGCAGTGTAATGGGAAGAGTTTTCAGTTCCCATTGGATTATTTTGACAGTGAATGCTGGTTGTATCTCAAGAGGGTTTACTAATTAAACTTCAGTGATTCCTGATGTCGTGTATAGCATCTACTCTAAGTTTGTCCTGTGCTACAAAGGTGAAGGACAAGGGCGTAGTCCCTTGTTATTTAATAATATCGAAAGAACTCTCTTGCAGGTTGCTCCAGTACACTTTTGCTGGTGACATATTTATGGTTCCTGATGATCCTTTGGGAAGAAATGGACCCAGATTAGATGACTTCCTTCGAAGTGAAGGCTGTTCTAGGTATAAGCACTGTTTTCACTTTTGAGACAGTTTTGATTTCACATTTGAAATAAACTGTTTACTTGATTCACTCAAACACTGTAAAAGCACAGTAAAATGAAGCAGGAGCCCTGTGTAATATATAGTAGCTTAACAAAAACCATATTTTTCCTGTTCAGAAACTGGTGGTGACATTTGTGTCTAATCGAGATGTCTCTCAGAACTAAGATAAGTAAGACAAGAACTTCCTTTGAGATTTGATTGTGGTGGCTTTCAAAGGTGTGTTAACAGCACACTGAGGTGCCAGTGGTTTGGGTATGTGGTAGTCAGACATCCTGCTAATGACACTGATGTTGTCTCAAACACCTTGGTGGTCACTTACTCACAGTGGGACAGTAGATGCTACAAACACTCTGCACTCAGTTTTTTTTGTCACTGGAGAGGTATTTCACCTGGTGGTTGAGGGTACAGTATTGCTGTTAAAACAAATTCTGTGGCGTTGTTTTTAAATGCTTTTATATTTGAGTAATAATTATAAATATTAATGAACACATATTGTTCCTGTAAGATTAACATACTTTTTAAATGTGCATATATTCGAAGTATGAAATTGCTTTGCATTAACTACCAAGACTTGAAGATTAGTTTGCTGTTTTGCACAATAATCTGCTCTTCTTTCACCAGCTTACAAATTATAAATGCTAATATTTCTGAGGATTATTGAGAGAGCTTTTAAAAACAAGCGAGGTAATTAAAAATTGGCAATAGAAAAGGCCAATTCTTAAGCTGTATTTAATACATGAATACATAGAATGAGGTATTTATCTCATCTATTAGAAACATTTGAGAAAAGTGAAACATATACATACCAATAGGTCACAAGCTGATATGAAAATAAGCGTGCTGGCATTAAAAAAGCAAGTTCAGTTCTAGAACTCCAGTAGGAAATGCAAAGAAAATATTTAAGCTCTATCACAAAACCCTTACGAGATGTCATTTGGACTGTTTTACCTGCCTGTGTCTGAGGAAAAATAAAATTCAAACTGTGTTCTGAGAGGTAAGTGTGATCACTGCAGGATTGCAGAGAGGCTTCTTTGTGAAGGCCTGTTAAGAGCTTGGTTTCTTATTTGTAAACTTGGAACTGGCATTGGGGTTTATTTGGTTTCTGTTGGGGTTGTTTGGCGTGGAGCAGGGGGACAGATGAGACAGAAAAGCTGCCAGTGTAAAGAGTTAATTTTGTTCCTTCTCTGAGACTTTTCTACATGAGTTAAATGATGCAGAAAAGCATAAATGGCACCAGGAATAAGATCAGAAACTAGAAGAGTCTTGAGCAATTAGAGAGCCTTTCCACATGAGTAATGGGAGGTGTCATAACCCAAATGCTTTTAAAATAGAGCTCTGTAATTTACATACTCTTTCCCTTGGTGGTAGGAAACTAGACTGTAACATGAGTTCCAGTTCACATTTCTGTGTTATCTGGTGGCATCTGAAGTAGACTGGGCCTTAAATTTTGTAGTGCTGGCAGTTTGTAGAGAAGCAATAACTTTTCGAAGTCTGAAATGAAATCTCAATAAGGAAGAGTGTTCAGATCCTGACATTGCTGAAAATACTTCATTGCCCCATCAAGGATGTTATACAAGGGAATGATCTAAATGTGAGCACAGCTCACAGTCAAGAGAAAAATAGGTGAGGAATAGTCTCATGGAGCATCTGGAAACCCCTCTGGTCTGTCAGTATTTTCAAATGTTCTGAATCAGTGTATATGTGTTCAGTGTATCTTTTTATCCATACCTTCATAAATAAACTTTGACTGTTGCTGTATCCTGTCAAAGTACTCACAGGACATTGAGGTGATATCAATGTTCTTAGTTGTGCCAGATTCAAACTGAGAACTGCTAAACTTTCTGTTTTGTTTCACTTTGAAAGAATGCTTGTCATTTGATTCCAGTCAGGAACTAGCTGAGCAGCAGTGAAGTGTAAGTTAGCCACATTTCTCTCTTGTACAGAGGCTACAGCCACCATCTCCTTTAGCTTAATTTAATAAAAATTTTTATTTTGTTCCACAGGGATTTTCGTTCAGCACAAAAGACTTTTCAGAGCAGTGGACAATATTCTTCTGAGACACCTTTCTTCATCCCCAAAGCCCCCAGCAGCAGTCGACAGCCTGAAGGCAGAGCACACGATGGCCGTTCATCGCCGTGGCTTCCACTGGAAGAAAACGTAGAGACTCATCCACCACAGAGATCTGCCTCAGAAACAGTACAGCTCAGAGAAGCCCTGATAAAAATCTTTCCTGATTATGATCAAAGACAGAAGATTGATCAGATACTGTCGGCTCATCCATTCATGAGAGATCTTAATGCACTGTCAGCCATGGTGCTTGACTGAGTGTTGTAAAAAGCTTTTCTATCACAACTGATCTGACTAATGAATATCAGTGTGAAGAAAGATGTTGCTCTGTTATGTTACCTTGTGAATATTCAAAACCTAATTTTATTTGTATAAACAAAGATATTTTTGTGTATGTTCTGTTGCTAATAGACTGCAGGTTTTAGTAAATTAAAAACTGCTCCTACTACAGGTTTGCAGTAATATTTTCTATGAAAAACCCCCAAATCTTCTCTTTCATTTGAATTGCTAATTAAAGCAGTGGCAGTACTTACTTTTAAATGGGCTGTTAGTACTTTTTTTAAAACCCTTTTCCCAGAAGGGAACAATGCTGTCCGTTCAGAGGGCCCTGTCTGTGGGAGGAGCGGGCTCGGTGCGCTGCCCCAGCGCTGCCACCAGGTGGCATCAGTGGCACCGTGAGGCTGCCCGGGAATGCCGCTCCCGCCTTTGGAAGCGCTCGGGATGCTGTAAGGAAAGATTGAATGCCGAGCAGGAGGAATCAGTAAGGGTGTTATGGGCAAAACTGTGCATTACGTGAATGACTTAGGGATACTGAGAAGCCTTTTGAAATTTTGGGCTGCTAAGAAGCTTTGTATGTGTGGGTAAATCTTAGTGCCTGCAGAGTGAAATCCAAGAAAATCCATTTGCCTGCTCATTCAAGCTGAGAAATACTATGCTGGAGTAGTTAGAAGAGAAAATATAAATTCACAGCTCTCATCAGTAGAAGATATTTTGAATGCTTTAAAAGATCTATGATATGTTGGTTGTTGAGTTGGAAATTCTCTTGACCATCACTACTCTTTCAGAGTAGTTTTAGTATCTTTAACAATTGCGCTGATACCCATTTGTCTTTGCCCTGCCTGTTCTAAACCTGAATGTTGTGATGTTAACAGAAAGTGATGCTGTTTACACAGAAATGACATGTTTATGCAGAGTTCATACCCTGCAGTTAGCAGTCAGCTCCACCCCTTTAAATCTCTTCTGGGATCTCTCCCAAAAGTACCGTGGAAAAAAAGGAACACAGTTTATGAAAGCTGACCAACAGGACCACTTTCAAGAGCGGAGCAAAGTGAAGATTACTGTGTCTGTGCCTTTGTACAGACTTAAGTCTGTTATACCTTCCCTTTAACCAGCTTCTGATGCTGTGTTCATATTAGTAAAATCAAATTGGACCAGGAAGAAAATGTGGGCTACAAGAGCCCCTGTTAGACTTCTGATGTACTGAGCCTTACCCTGACGCACTAGTGGTCTTTCAGGTGTCTTGTGAAGTTAGAAACAGAAAGTGAAGTCTTGCTCTTCCCTTAACAGAAGCAACCTGAAAGAGAATTGCAGCAACAAAAAAAGAAGAGTTTTAGGAACAGTTATTACACCATCTCAAAAATACAAATGAGGATGAAGAAAGGTTTTTAATATGTTTCTGCATCCGAATAGACACATCTTAATTAATTTTTATTCTGTATAAATGAATAGGGAATTCATTATTCAGGTGGGCAGAGCCATTCTGACCAGGACATTTGCCAAGAAGTAGTTCTTACCTACTGTTATGCAATCACCAAGTTTCACCTTGCACTGCCTGTGTGCATGTCTGAACGTGCTCCTCGAAGAACTTGTCTTTTGCTTATGTGCATCCTGCTTGCGTATGTGTTCAATTTTTAGGTGTTGATGGGGAGATACATATATATTGTAATCTTTATTTCATAGAATATGCTGAGTTGGAAGGGACCCACCCAGGTTGTAGAGTCCAACTCCTGGCCTTGCACAGGACACTCCAGGAATGCCACCCCGTGCCTGAGAGTGTTGTCCAAACAGTTCTTGAACTCAGGCTGGTGCTGTGACCACTTCCCTGGGGAGCCTCTTCCAGTGCCCAACCACCCTCTGGGGGAAGAGCCTGTCCTAGTATCCAACCTAAATCTCCCCTGACTCAGCTTCAGGCCATTCCCTTGGGTCCTGTCTGGTCATGAGAGTGAAAAGATCAATACTTTTTCTTCTTTCTCTATTTCTTTGTGTAGAGTCTGTTTCTGAAGCATTTGCTTTGTGCTATTCAACCATTGGTTGCTGAAACAACTGAACTAGAAGCAGTATTTTGAGTGGAAAATAACAGGAACCTTTCCTTCTGTGTGAGTGATGTGGCATTTCCCTCTCCCTCCCTTTAAAGGGGTAAAGTCCTGAGACTTTGTTCTAATTCCTGGTGTGAGGCTGAGTAAAGATTTCCGTGACAAATACAACAGTTTTCTGTTGCAAGGAGCTTTTTCTCTTAAGTTTTAAGAGAATGTAATTTAAATAATTTAATTCCAGTTGTAAACAAGCGAAGCTCCAACGAGTCCCAGTATTCAGTGCCAGTGCTGCTGTTTTTCCTTTCTGTTTCAGTGCCATATTGGGAGAGCTTGTGTTTTGGAAGAGCATTTCTGAACTGCCTTTTGCAACAGCAGAGAAAGTGCCTGTGAAAGTTCCATGACAAACAGTGACTCATACAGCGTCTTTCTAATACTGGCAGAGTTTCCTTCTGTTTTGCAAGCTTGCAGGCTCTATTTGATATGAATGCCTTTCTTGCTAAAATTTTGTGTAGCTGCAACCAGTGCTATTTTTAGATCTGGGCCTGATTTATGTCCCGGATGGCTCTGTTTTATTGGGAAGCTTGTAGCTCTGCTATAATTCATGTACAGGGCCTCTTATTTTCATAAATACAGTTTTGAATAATAATGACTTTGCAGATTCAAAGCTAATCTGCTGTGAGAAGTAAAGCTATCATAGGGTATTCTGGTATTTGGTGTCTGGTTATATAAGTAGGTGTGTCTGATGTGTTCAGTTTCTCATTTTTATCACAGAATAGAAACCCAAGTGCCTTAAAACAGTGCAACTCACCGTGTTTAAAGTACTCTTAGTGCCCCTGACAGCTACTGTGGGTGCTCAGTTTTGTACATATACGTTGGTATTTAACTGCATGAAGTGGAAATAGTGCAGAGCTCAAGTAGATGGGATAGACAATTGATGAATTTTAAAAAACAGATGGATTTTAGATTTGTACGTTTCTCACCTGTCTGTGTGTGCATTCATGTTTAGAATGTGGTTCCATTGTACTACTGAAACTCTGCAGCTGTGTATGACAAACCAAGTCTTGCTGTCTGCCTTATGGATAGCTAAATTCTGTCAGATTGCATTAGATAATTTTAAATGGCACGTTCAAATGAAACACTTTTAAGAAGATACTAGTTTTGAATGCATTGGGTCTCCTTTTCAGTCTCCTCTGGAGTATTTTTAGCTGTTTCAGAAATTATACTTTGGGTGTACATAAGCAAACTACAATATTACATATTTTTAATAAAAACCCCTGGAAACTACAGTCCAAAGACATCAGAGTTCTGCTGAAATATACCAATTAACTTTTACTTTCTCATCATTTGTCACTAAATGCAGGAATAATTGTGATTCAAATCCAAAGTAATGTATAATTTTTTCCTAGCTGTTGAATGAGCATGCAGTATGCAAAGTATTGTTAGTAATCTTAGTATTGTCAATTTTAAGATAAAACTTGGCTTTTTTTACCATTGGTAAAAAAATAAAATGCTGCCTTGCATGTGCTTTATATAGAAATACAGGCACATGCCCTTCTTACAAAGACTGTTAAAGGTTAATCCAGACTGAGCGTTTCAGTTCTTTAATTTTGTGTAATTGTTTTGGTGGTCACAAAAGATTTTTAAGTATTTCTGGAAAGAAATACCAGCGCTGACATTCCTGTGACAGTAGAGGGTGCCACGGGTTCACTCCTGCCTTAAAACACAGCTCGGCTTCCGATGGCGATAGAGAATGTTGGGGTTGATGTCTGAACACATCAGTGCGTGCACAGTGACCCTGTCTCAGTGCAGAACTTCACTTGTAGGTCTTATTTTGTCTTTTTAGTGTTTTACTGATGTCCTCACAGCTGTGGTAGGTTTCATTTGCTTCCTGGCTCAGGTACTGCTCTTTTGTTTTCTAATAGTTTAAGTTTGATATGCAAATGACATTGGTAGTAATATATTAACTTTTGATACGAGTTCTTTGAATTCAAAATTGCAGCCAGAAGTCTGCTGTTGGAACAATTCTGGTTTTCAAAAGTTATGGTATCAGCACAATAGAAATTATATTTTTAAAAAATAAATAAGATAAATTCAGAAATTCAGGGGCATTACATCAGAAATCAGAGAAGACATCACAGAGACTCACATAACAGCATGAGAGCAGAGCTGGCTGCCTAAAACTTGGTTAGGGGTAAAGCAGAATCCAAAAACAGAGGCAGGAAGGGACCAGCCCTTTCACTGGGACAAGGACTTGGGAGCACACAGGACTGAGTGATGCTGAAACCAGTGGGAGTGTGACTCCGGTAGGTGAGGAGCATTACTGCACCCCGAATCCACTGTACCCAACTCAACTGTGTTTTGCAAAGACAGAAGGAAACTGGGAATATCTAAAAGGCAGAGCATGAAGGTCTGGCAATATTTTCTGCAAGGAGGAGAAGATATATTGTGATTTATAAATACTTTGTGTAGGAGATCTTTGCAGCAGAGGGCCTTGAATTAAAAGAGGCACATCAGAGTGCTTTGCCAGATCTCCTACTGGCAGGACACCAAGAATATGGATAAGGACATTCTTGACATTCTACAGTCAAGAGGCATGAAAATAATAATATTTGACATTCACTGGGAACAAATTAATGTTTTCTATTGCACTTGTAGCTGCTCAAGGATTCTTTTCATTAGGAAAATAGAATTTGTCATATTTTAACTTTTATCCAAATTTTTATTCTCTTGGCATGTGTGTCTATCAGCTGTTAGCACCTAATCTAAAGAGAAATTTCCTGGGCTGATTGTAACTTGTGAAACATGTAACATCAACACACAGCTTCACAATGTTCAGACTTCTTTCCCTTCCAGATTTGAGCCAGAAACAGACTTTTGAGTAAATTAATAAGGAAATAGCACTAGAAATGAAACAGTTTAAGACAATGAAAGCATGATCTTGAAATTAATGTGCAGAGTCTCTATCAATTCAGTGTGTGCACATGATTATTTTTGTTTAAAACCATTCAATACATTAATTTTGACTAATTATTGAGAGCTCTGAGTCATAAGCAGCAGGTGTTGTAGTGGCCTAAAATGTTACCATGGTGTTTGCAGGAGATTCACTTCAGCTGCCCTTGCTCCTGCAGGATTCTGTGTGTTGCTTTCCCAGTTGTCACAGCTGGCATACTGGTTTAAACTGTTGTAGGTCATGAGCCTGAGCCCTCAGTTCTCCGCTGTCAACAAAAA